TTTTCCAAAGATATACATATTTCTTTTCAAATATTATATTTTAAAGGGATGGGGGTTGCAATGATAGCTGGAAGGTTATTGCAGGCTAACAAAGAAGCCAATCAACCCCCATTCCAAAGGGGTGGACCTGTTCATCTATTTCAATTTGCATGTTTTCTAAACAAAAACAAGGCTTTGTTGGAGTACTGGATAAAACCTGGAACTCAACGCTATTTCAGACATTTTGTGATCTGGAAAATGAAGTTTGTAAAGAATTAATCTGAAAAAAAAAAAGAGAAAATCCGGAGGGGAAAAATGTGAAAAATGCAATTAGGAAAAAAATAATCTATGGAAAAAAAAAATCATCATTTAAATAAAAAAAGTAATGTATGGATTGCAATCTTTACAAAGTTTCCATTCACAAAACATTGAGGTCATTTTTTTTATTTCAAAATTTGATTTTTAAACAAAATGTGTTTTTTTTTTTTCTTTTTAAAAAACATTTTTTTTTTTTTATTTATATTTTCTGTTTTTTTTTTTTTATTTCTATTTTCTGTTTTTTTTTTTTTTTTTTTTTTTTTTAATTCTTTTTTTTCGCTGGCATCAATAATGGAACTAATTTCCCTCCGTATGGTTTAACGTGTCTCCGTTTGCTCTGCGTCTCCTCAGCCTGTCCAGATCAGCGCAGAGCTGGAGGGTTTGCTGCTGAGCATGTGTGAGGACATGGCGGTGAGGAGGAGCGACCTGCTGACGGTGCTGGAGACCTGTGAGTTTCATCATAAGACGTCTGCGCTGCCGTCCCCAGAGCGCCTCATCAGGCAGCTGGTAGAGGACGTCTACAGAAACTCTGTGAGCAGCACTCATCCCTCAACATTAAAAGAAGCTGTGTAGGACCAGTCCCCTGCTGGTTTGATTGAGTGCTGTCTCTACAGGCCGACCACGTGTCCATGGCTGAAAACGGACCCCAGCTGACAGACCGCAGTCAGATGGTCAGGGACAGATTACACAGTAAGAAACTGATCCCATTTGTTTGAGCTGAACTTTGATGCAGCTTGACTTTTCTCAGGAACACGCTTATTGGCTTTCTCGTTAAAAGACGCAATGATTAATAGAACCTTGATGTGTTTACCAAGCTCAAAGTAAGTCTGCTGTAAGCTTTTCCCTGACTAATTTAAGGTCACAGGGACCAGTTTAACGCAGCGAGATCCCAGTAATTATCTCCACAAAGCAAAGGCAACACAGACATTCACAGGAGTATCCTTTCTGTCCACATTAACCTCTAAAACTTCTTCCTAAAAACAAATTACATCACAATTGTTAGGGGTGTAGCTAGATGGGGGGCCAGGGATGGGGCCACCCCTACCAGGTGATTTATGTTTCCATGTGGACGTGATTCACCTCCTCTGAGAGAAGCAGGTCGCCTCTAAACCAAAGGGTAGTAGGTAGTTCTGATGTGTGGCTGAAGCATCTTTGCTGCTCTAGCTGAGCGGTGGAAAGTGGTTCTGATGCGCGTTGGGTGGAGCTACCCTATCCCTTCTTTGCTTGGAACAATGGCAGCTATATTTGCTGTGATCAGTGGTTAGAAAGTAGTTTTAATATACTTTTAGAGGCGTGCTTTGGTGGCGCAGTGGTTAGCGCACTAAACCCATGTATGGAGTCCTTGACGGGGCCGACCTGGGTTCGAATCTGACCTTGATCCTTTGCTGCATGTCTCTCCCCCTCTCTAATACCCTCTTTCCTGTCAGCCTACTGTCCAAAAAAAAAAAAGAGCCAGAGAGTGCTGTAAAAAAACTTAAAAAAAAATGTCTATATGTTTCTAAGTGAGACAGTCCTCCTGAAAACATGGTCTGTGCAGTCAGTTTAT